GCGATAATTGCATTTCGTCGTCGCGAAGAAAATAATTACTGTACGCGAAAGGACGTTAACGCGAAGCCGGCTGGTCGGGCGGTATTTATCGACCGGTATTACGTATCCTTACGGGCCTAACGCGATTTGCATTTGAAATACTGTGACCTTTTCAGAGCTGTATGCAGTTTGCGGTTGGAGTTTATGCGCTCCCCCTGCGGGCATCCCAGCTCGCTGTAAACGAAGGAAAACTGCGATCGCAGATAATGAGAAAAGCTTAAAACCCCAAAAGTGGCCGTAAATAACAGATATAGCGTTGTACAATACGACGAATATGAAAGGGCAGATAAATAAAGATATGTTACGAAAGTTAAACGTCGAGGAAAATACTTTGAAAGTTTTCTTATCACCGCGATACACCATCTTCATCCTTTTCAGTATAAAGTAACCGCACATTTAGAGAAATATGACTAAGTGATATTACACACCTGAGTGCAAACACGAACATAATATTCGACCATTAAAAGAATACATTTTTTTTTTTTAATATCAACACTTGCGCTTTCATGCAAAATAATATCGAGTTGATGAGAAAGTCAGAAATGCGAAAATCCAAAGAAACTTTCCGATCAACCCAATATTACGTAAATTCGCAGAAATTGGAATTAGATTCTCGAAGGCGCAGCTTTTCAATCTCTTTGCGATCCGGATTTCAAGCGAACGCTCTTCAAACAGCGACGCTTTCCGCGACGAAATTTAATCGGCATTTACAGCACCATCGCATCTCGAGCTCGGCGGTTCCGATGCAAAATCCGCAATTCGTTTCCATGCTTTTCTGCAGTCTCGAGCTAATTGCTCCCGTAAACCATTCGCCACCGATCGGAATACGTTGTTGCACTCGTTTGGAAATCGACGGCCGAACCGCGGCTGTATTTCTTTATGACGGAAACCGCGGCTCGTTAATAAATATACATACTACAGCAACACTGCCGGTCGTCACCGTCGCCACCGCCGCGCACACTTTAAACATTACGTAATGTTTCTTGCGTGTTTTGCGGCGCGCATTACCTCATATCAAAGCAATTCTCGGGCACGGCGCGGCGGTCATTTTCCCACCCCCTCCCGCCAAGTAACTCCCCGCTCGAATTTAAAAGCGATCACGTTCCGGTCTGCCAATCGCACGACAGTGATCGATCCCCCTGCAAAATCTTCCGTGTTACCGATACCCGATCGATTGATCGACGCGTGGAAGCTCGGGACTCGTCGGAACATCGTACATCGACGTCGGTTACGTTTGTACGCGCTCGCGACGCACGATCTTGTCGCTTTCGATAATACGGTTTCTTTGTCAGTCGCTCACAATTGAAACGATCCGTCCGTTCAGCTCGCGAATCTTTACGTAACGGATATCGAGCCGAGAGAGCGCGGAATCGCGCGCGAGCGGCGGGGTGACCGGAAAAACTGAATCATCGATTACACTTGCGAGACTACCCGCGTGGACGATGGCTTCCTTGGCCAACCTTGAATAAGTAATCCACTTCTTCAAGTAACGTGCGCCGGGAAAAAAATCGGATTTAAATCTCTGCTCTCGAGAAAGCACAGGTGATATCGGTCGTTCGCGGTGAAAGTACAGTCGTTGCACCAATATGTGTACACAATATATCTCAAGATCGCGACATGAAATTTCAACATCGTCGTTGCCAAATTTGTCGTCAAGTTTGCTTTTGTTTTTTTTTCTAGAAATTAAATTTCAGATATGCAATCTTATTTCTCTCTTGAAAAAATCTGGGCAAACTTTTCATGTTGGCAATAACTCACAAATTAATTACAAAAAAAATTAAAAACTTATTACATATAATTTCCAAATAATTTTCAGCTTTTGCTTATGAAAATATCGCTTGAAATTCGTTAACAAATGCAATGCTAAAGATTGATGCGGTAAAGATAAGACGTTTTTTATCTAAATAGCGTGTCGTTATATATTTAAATCATTTAAAAAATCAGAATGTAAAAAATTTAAATTAAGCTACGCAAAGATTTAACCAAAGTTTAAAACTAAATCAATTATAACCAAGAACTTATTTACACGCATGCACGGAAAAAAGAATTTTGCTATCGTAGCGAAATCATCGTTGCTATCGTATATTAGATGTAATAGCGATAAAATTTTGCTATCACAATTAATTTTTCAAATTATTCGATATATCAGCAAAATCTATTTTGCTAATAGAATAAATGAATTTTGTTGAGTACATTTGTTCGTAAAGGCAAATTAATTTGCTACTACAACAAAACAGTTTATTTCTAACAAATGTATTTCGCTAATGCAGCAAAATTGTCGCTGTCAATGCAAATTTTGATGGCAAAGTAAAAATCAATTTATTATAATGGCAATATAATTTGCAGATTTAGCAAAATTATTTGTAACAAATAAAATTAGCATCCGTAACAAATCTCTTTGCTATCCATATAATAATTAACTTGTTTTACTGTACAGCATAAATCTGCCAGCAAATTCTTTTTTTCGCGTGTGGCTGAGAGAATATAAGAATACGCACGCCCGCTAATAGATCAAGTAGACGAATGCATAAAAGAATACGGAAATCCACCGGTGACCGGTCAAACACCCAGATCATTGCTCGTGTAATGAAAAGAATCACTCGCCAGCCGTTCCTTGAATTTCCATTATGTAACTGCACAATGTAATAGACGTAGAATACATAGACAATGCTAATTATCTTTTTAAAAGACTGAGTTAGTAAACAAACAGACGACCGAGATATTGCGCTGGAAGAGGGATATCGCTCACCTTAAAGACAAGTATGTCATCGGAAAATCATTAAACACGTAACAGATTCGTAAATTACAATTCTCTAAAAATAATCGTTTATAGTGTCACCGCGTGGGCGAACGCGGTGACACCATAAAGTTTCTCGCGCATGCAAAATATATATATTTTCGCGAGCTTTTCACAACTGGTTTGCCGCTTACATAATCGTATCGTTGCTTGGTTCTGTATATCTCATCGTTTTTAACCATTATGCAACTACCAACTAATACGCATGGCATAATTTTTCACTTGTATATTCCACGATGCTGACCGAATGCACCCGGAGTGACGCGCGATGCGCTGATTTATGCTTTCGAATATGTAAAATCTTCCTGAATGAACAGGTCGAAGGTGTTATTGATAAATATCTAACGTACAAAGTGAAGAGTTTCTTTCGCTAGTCGTTTTTCTCAAATCTTTCAAAGAATTCCATTGGTTACAATTAATTTGCCTCGAATATGTATATCTTAGCTATGTCCTTGCATAATTTAATTTTATTATTATTATTATTATTATCTCATCTCAGTTTTAGCATTGTTTAATTTTGTCATTAGACCGTTAAATAAAAGCTCTGCTAAAATAATGTATTTAATTATCAATGCAGAGTCGAGAAATGTATGTAATGTTCTTACTCATTCATTCTTATAATTGTCTCATAAACGGAAACTATTTTCAACTGAACAAAGATGAACTTAAGATAATCAAACTTGGAAAATCATCATTAAATACCGCGTATAGAGAGCACACGCGCGCACACATGTTTAGAAAAGCTTCGGCCGGGCCGGGGCTCGAGCGTGATGCAGATTGTATGCGTAACAACAAGCGCGTGCATGCGGCGTGTGCATGCGTGCGTAGGTATTACGCGGTTGCGGGTCGGTGTGATGTATGTACATTCGCGCAAATGTGTACGCCTACGATAAGAGCCGCGTCGCGACGCGCGGCGCGTTATATCATCGTCTACGAACTACTGTATACGTGATATTGTGATGTATCGCCTTCAGTTCCTTCAGCCATTGAACCGCTCGCTCGCTCGCTTCAATTACGCGCACTGTAAATTGGAACGGAGCGGCGAGCCACGGGCGCGCGAACCAGCACGAACAAAAATTCGATTATCATATCTGCGCTCGTACTACGACGAAGCGATTTCGTCGATCGTCTCCCCGGCGAATCACGGGAATTTATTTCGAGTCGTCCAGCGCGATCTTGCGCATAGTGCGTATCGTGTCGTATCACACGTGTGTGGTCTCGCCGTAGCTGCGCAAAATCCTGTTCCCGCGCTTTTTTACTCGGACTAGATTTGCAACTGTTCGAAGGCAAGAAAACCACGGCTCCGTCGACGTTCGCGATCGATGAAACAATTCCATCTGAAGTGTTAGCCCCCAAATACAATTGTACAAAGGCCGCGGACAAACTGCAAAAAGTCGCAAATATGTACAAAGATACTTTTCGCACAATGCAAAATCTTATAGGATGATTCTGAAAGCGTGTGAACGATGTTGGTAATATTGGAACGTTGCCTTTAAATAATTACAACGTCTTTTAGGAACTGCTATTGTTAGAACGTCTGGCGATACACGAATAATTAAATTAGAGCTAAATGCGACGGGCTCGTGAGATTCTCTCAGTCTAGCTGTCTTGCACTCGATAGAATCGATGCATTTACACGTCCTACTTACGTATTTATCATCGACCGCGAGTGTCATAACCGCTCATCGCCGTTGTTCGGGCGCGAGAAAAACCACCCTCTCGCCGCTGGCGCTCCAAAACGTTGATTTACGTGCGCGACTGATCGTATAGATCCCTCGTGAAACTTTATTGCGAATGCGCGAACAAAAAACACGCGGAGATACTTTTGCGTCGCGCAGCACGGCACGATAACACTCGGCGCGCCGATTCGCCGCCGTCGTCCCGAACGGGAATCGCGAACGCGAAAGTCAACGTGGGGAACGCGCGCACTCACCTCTCCGTCGTCGTTGTCCGGCGTGCCGATGTCCGCGTCTCTCGCGCCGCTTACATCCACGTAACACTGGCGGCAGATTCTAATATTCGAGTTCTTGTCGAGAGGAAAACCGTAAAAACGCCAAGCACTTGACACGATGCACCGGAATCGCGCTCGTCTTTCGAACGCGCGCGCGGACCCGACAAGCGCGACAGCGAATTGTTAATCGTCGTACCGCAGATTGCCGCTTACCCGGCGGAGCGCGCGTCTCTGTGAGCTTTCTACGACGAGATGGCGCCATCGTCCTCATCCCCCGCCGATTAGATATTCCTTTTATTTGCACTTTTGTCTGCACTACTTTCAATCTTCTTTCTCTTCCTGTTCTTTGTAAAGAAATAAAATTATTTTACTTTTTTGTGCAAATATATTTCTTGCATATTTAATGCAAAATAAGCTTTCATCTTTAATTATTTACACGCGCTGTATATCTCATATTGCAATTGGCGATTTAGTATATTATATATATATTTTGTATAACAGGGTTCAAGATATTTGAATTTTGCAATAAATATATATATAGTAAAATATTTTAATTATCCTATAGATTTGTTATCTATTAGGGGTGACACTCTAACATTTTATTTGCATCTTAATTACTAATTTTCTTTTCCATTAAATAATTAAAATATATTATTCTATTAAAAAAAATATGGGCAGAAAGGTTGGTTAATATTTGAATACATTTTTGCCAGACATGTATTCTTTTACTAAAAAAAAAAAACTTATTAATTAAATATATATATATAGATGTTAGTAAATCAAGATTTCAATTTATATTTAGAATTATACATACTTTATTTACATTAAAACCCATGTACAATGGAATGACGAAAATTGATCTTCACACCTGCAAAACCGGCCTCTCATGTCTGCCTTCTAACGAGTCATTAACAGATGCATAACCAGTACCACCCTGCAAAATATTAGATATAAACATCATTTTTCAATTATCTATATATATATATATATATATTAAATTTGTCTATTATATTTATACTAGTTACCCTTTGTAAAGGAATAATATCTTGCGGCGTCAGTTTGGAATTATCCAAAGGATTGATCCAGTCTTTCTTTATCAACTTTTCCACACATTCCATAGTGATCACATCACCGCTATAAAAAATATTTATTATTTTACATAATAAAATAGCAGTTGCAAATTCATAGAAAAAGCCATTCTCTTACGTTGTTTTTATCACAGCACAAGGAACACTGTTGCCCAAGACATCATGTGTAACAGGACACATGTATCGTGCTTGTTTAACAATGAGTGACCTTTTGTCATCAGGATCTCGAACTTGTGTGAATTTGATAGGAATCAGATCCTTCACTTTCAATGGGTTACTACTGATAGGGCAGTAAATTGTTTTATCAGGTTTTTTTAGGACCAATTCCTTTGTCTCTGGTGTCTTAAAAGGTATCCAAAAACTTGGCAGTACTTTATCTTTGCCATTTTTCATATTAGATACTGAAGCTCGATCTATCGCACTAGGACCTTTTGATACAATAGTTTTTTCACTGTTCAAGAAATCCTGAAGCTTCTTCAGTTCTTCAGTAGCAGTTTGCTCTTGTGATTGCTCCTATAAAAAACACAGTAACAATGTAAACATTATATTGATTATTTAAATTTACCAATAAGTTTACAATTTGCTTACTTCTTCCTTTCGCTTCTGCTTTTCATACTCCTTCAGTTTTCTTGTATATTCCTTCTTTTTGGTCAAAACGTACTCTAATATTGCTTCTTTGTCAAACAGATAGCCATCTTTTCTATAACAACATAAATTGTGAACAGTATATTCATATAAGAAAATATACAAAAACAGCTCATTTCGTAAGACACTTACGTTACTACTGAATTTCTGCAAGGCTGTAGAGTCAAACAACAGCAATCGAAATCCTTTACAGAGTCTTTGCCTACTCTTTGAGTGTTTGTGCCATAACCTGACGCCGCAGCATCTTTCTTCTTCTCGTGATACGTGTACACAGCACCTGCAGTACAATTCCTCGCATGCCGCGTCATTGTTATTAACACAAATGCTTTTCCTTTAAAATAATATTATTCGTTTTCTCCAAAAATCTTGCTTCATAAATTTGTATTATAGTATTCAAGTTTTCAAAATATCACGCCATTACCCAACCTAACATAACCCAAACTTTATGTCCCGAGATATAGCAATTTCAAGATAGCAGTCAAAGCATGAAAAATCCACATCTCGTATTGGTTGGTACAATTAATGACATTGCTGTAACCAATCAAATTCGTGGATTTTCTCATCTTGCTACTATTTTCAATACATTAAAAACTTGTCCAGTATAATATTGCCTTAATGTTTTGAAGATCCGTAACTTTCACATTGTGAACAATGCCTTAAGAAACTGTTCATATTGCCAGAATTTCAGAATTCTATGCAATTCTGTTAAATGTTATAGGGAAATAGGTATTTTCAAAGCCAGGTTAAATCAAATGAATTATAATTACATTAGCAGCTGAAAGATATTATTGATAAAAAGTACATAAGAGCATTAAAAACCAACATTTTGTAAGATGAATACAATCTACGCTGAAAAACCTAGGCATAGAGATATTATAAACATGTATGCTTGAAAAAATTATTTACATTAGTTTTATTTGTAAATTTGAGTGTTAATAGATACAATAGGGCAATGTCACTGTTTCCCCTTCGTTACTCTCTTGAAAGAAGTATGACAAAATGTACAAAGACATGATGATGCAAATATGATACATTACGAATCACTTTCAATGAAGAAGATATGAGTAAAAATTATATAATAATTGAAATGAATTCATTTTTTATCACTGTCCTCATTGCTCTCAGATGAACTGTCTTTCTTATGCTTCTTACGTTTTTTATGTTTAGAGCTTTTCTTTTTTTTCTTATGCTTGTGTTTCTTTTCCTCCTCACTGGACGTTTCAGATTCAGATTCACTATCACTGCTCTCAGATTTCTCACGTTTCTTACGTTTTTTCTTGGTCTTCTTCTCCTTACGTTTTTTCTTGGCTTCCTTCTGCTTCTTCTTCAATTCACGCTCCCGCAATTCTGTTAACGGAGTTAAATAATTTTCGTCGCTATCAGAACTCGTGCTACTAACGTCTAACACGATTTCCTTGTTTGGATCGATCTTGATAAAATTGCGACATTGGTAAGTTAAATGTCCAGCGTATCCGCATTTTTTGCAAGCAGGTCGTATGTGCTCCTTGTTCTGAGGGATCAGTCTAGAAAGAATTCCGGGATCCATGATTCTGCAAAAAATCAACACGTGGACGCCATGTAATAATGAATGTAAAATATGCACACATAAAACGATCTACTTTGCATACATATATATCTTAGTATTTCTATTACTAAAATAAGCAGTTCAATTAATACATTGTAGGCAACAATTAATATTTTAGTTTCATTTATAACAAAGCCCATCTGATATGAGTGACAAAGCAATTTATATCACCCAAAAAATGAATAATTCAGGAATCGAATGATAATCGCAATCATCGATAATCATAAATAGCTGACTTGAAACTGTGACTCAGTTGAAACTATGAATTTATAATTATTATTCAGTTACTATTTCATGGAATTATAATTATGCAAAAATAAATGTTCACCCACGTGTTTAGGCAAGTTAAAAAATTTTAGTTTAAGGAAAACAAATGCTCAGACAAAACGAAATCGTGCGCTGTGAATCGCATGGAATGTTTATGACGCTCCTAAAATCATCCTTGACTGCTATAAACAAAAGAGTAGAAAGGTGGTTATGTATTCAACGTACATAACACAGACGTGCGCACACACATGACACGCACCGATGCAGGCGTTCCCGCTTGTTCGAACTATCGCGATGGTTCTAGACTCTTGGAAAAATGTCGCCACTTCCTATCACTACTCTAATCACGAGAGTGAAGTCGTACGGAAAGTTGAACGGACGCTTATTGCTCAAAGATTCGTGCGCGACACGCCACAGCAATTGACTTGTGAATTTTTGTTGTGATGTATATCACGGCAGCAATTGTAGTTTCTGTGCTTTATCTGGCCTCGAGGAGTGATTTTGATAGAACATTCTAGAAACAGGACGGGTTTCCGTTCTCAAATCTTCTCAACGCGCCACTCTCAAGCGCGACCATTACTCTTGGTCAGTCGTTCAATATTCGTTGGTGTGTAAAGACTTGCACTGTTCCAGACGAACTTTGTGCACTAAGTGTTGCATATTAAATTCAGATTGCGAGTACATTCGTGTATTTAGCAGCTGTGACCAACGCGATCGGCAGTCAGTGAAATATTTGCTGAAAAAAAATGCCAGAAGACGTATCCATGGAGAACGCCGGCGAGGTGGAGACCTTCGCCTTTCAGGCCGAAATTGCTCAATTAATGAGCTTAATTATCAATACCTTCTATTCGAACAAGGAAATCTTTATCCGAGAATTGATCTCAAACTCGTCTGATGTAAGTATCTCGTGTATTATAAACGAAAATCGATAATTTCTCCATGGCCTATTTGTGCGACCACGTTGCTGGTTTACCTGAAATTATTTCAATATCTTCATAAAATAATTATAATTTTTTATTTTATTTTATTAATTCTTAAATAAATAAATACGTTTCTATGTTACATCATCTATAAATGTTTCTGAGAAAATTTATTTAACACATTTATAAATTTAAAAATTATTATGAAGAAATATGTGAATTTAGATGTGTAATATTGAACTTTGTTAATAATATCAAGCTAATTATTTTATAAATTGTTCAGGCGTTGGACAAAATTCGATATGAATCTCTTACGGAGCCATCCAAGCTTGATACATGCAAAGACCTGTTCATCAAAATTGTCCCGAATAAGAATGATCGCACTCTTACTATTCTTGATTCGTAAGTATTAATCTTTCACATATATATGTAATAATAATTGTGTATATTAATGCAAACGTTCTCATCAAATTAAATTTTCTTTATCCTTAGTGGTATTGGTATGACCAAGGCCGATCTCGTGAATAACTTAGGTACCATCGCTAAATCTGGCACCAAGGCATTTATGGAAGCTCTGCAAGCAGGCGCTGACATTTCCATGATTGGACAGTTTGGCGTAGGTTTCTACTCGGCATATCTTGTGGCTGATAGGGTCATCGTTATCTCGAAGCACAATGATGACGAGCAATATTTGTGGGAGTCTTCCGCCGGTGGTTCGTTTACTGTACGCCCTGACAATGGCGAGCCGATCGGCCGTGGCACGAAAATTGTTTTGCACATCAAGGAGGACCAGACTGAATACCTGGAAGAAGCAAAGATTAAAGAGATTGTGAAAAAGCACTCTCAATTCATTGGCTATCCCATCAAGCTCGTTGTGGAGAAGGAACGTGATAAGGAACTGAGCGAGGATGAGGAGGAGGAGCCTGCAAAGGAAGAAGAAAAAACTGAGGACGACAAGCCTAAGATCGAGGATGTCGGCGAGGATGAGGATGAGGACAAGCCCAAAGACGAGAAGAAGAAGAAGAAGAAGACCATCAAGGAGAAGTACACTGAGGACGAGGAACTCAACAAGACAAAGCCGATCTGGACGAGAAATCCAGATGACATCACGCAGGAAGAATATGGCGAATTCTACAAGAGCTTGACTAATGACTGGGAGGATCATTTAGCTGTGAAACACTTTTCCGTGGAAGGACAGCTGGAATTTAGGGCGCTGTTGTTTATCCCGCGTCGTGCGCCTTTCGATTTGTTCGAGAATAAAAAGAGGAAGAACAACATCAAGTTGTACGTACGACGCGTCTTCATCATGGACAATTGCGAGGACCTGATTCCAGAATATCTGAACTTCATCAAGGGCGTTGTGGATAGCGAGGATCTACCTTTGAACATCTCTCGTGAGATGTTGCAGCAGAATAAGATCTTGAAGGTTATCAGGAAGAATCTCGTTAAGAAATGCTTGGAACTCTTCGAGGAATTGGCTGAGGATAGGGAGAATTACAAGAAGTGCTACGAGCAGTTCAGCAAGAATCTGAAACTCGGCATCCACGAGGACAGCCAGAACAGGAAGAAGCTATCCGAATTGCTCCGTTATCACACTTCCGCATCCGGTGATGAGTTGTGCTCGCTAAAGGACTACGTCGGTAGGATGAAGGAGAACCAGAAACATGTCTACTACATCACCGGCGAGAGCAGGGAACAAGTCGCCAACAGCTCGTTTGTTGAACGCGTGAAGAAGCGCGGCTTTGAGGTCGTGTACATGACTGAGCCCATCGACGAGTACGTCGTTCAACAGCTGAAGGAATTTGACGGAAAGCAGCTGGTGTCTGTCACGAAAGAGGGCTTGGAATTGCCGGAGGATGAGGAGGAGAAGAAGAAGCGCGAGGAGGACAAGGCCAAGTTCGAGAGTCTCTGCAAAGTCATGAAGGATATTCTCGACAAGAAGGTCGAAAAGGTGGTGGTGTCCAACAGGCTGGTCGACTCGCCATGCTGCATCGTCACGTCGCAGTACGGTTGGACGGCGAACATGGAGAGGATCATGAAGGCCCAGGCGCTCCGAGATACATCCACCATGGGTTACATGGCCGCAAAGAAACACTTGGAGATCAATCCGGATCATCCCATCATGGAGAACTTGCGGCAAAAGGCTGAGGTTGACAAACATGACAAATCTGTTAAAGATTTAGTCATGTTGCTGTTCGAGACTGCTCTCTTGTCCTCTGGTTTCGCACTTGAGGATCCGCAAGTACACGCATCTAGAATATATAGAATGATCAAACTCGGCTTGGGCTTTGAGGACGAAGACACGCCTAATGCTGAGGACGATAAGATGGAAACTGAAGTGCCGACTTTAGAAGGTGACGCCGAAGAGGCGTCGAGGATGGAAGAAGTAGATTAAGTTCTATCCAGCGATAAGACCATCTTCAAAGACTAATTTTTAATTTAGTTTTTTATATTAATTAATTAACTTAATATTAATTGGATTAATATTAATTAATTAGATTAATTTTATTTAAGATCAATAGTTACTCAATAAAGTGGTTGAATAATATTTTATGATCTTGATTTATTTTCCTAAAATAATTTGTATCTTCTATTTAGAATTTAGAGAATAGTAAGAAATTTGTAATATCTTAAATATCTTAACACTCTCTCGAATAGTAAATAGTTCTTTTATTGAATATATAAATCTTTAATATTATTTTAAATTGCACTGATCATCTGAAATCATAAATAGGTCAAATATGTATAAAAAATTCTATAATAAGCTTTGAGTTTATAATTCTCTCTGGAAATATGTCAGCAATAAATATTACAATTATCTTTATTGATTAAGCCTCGAATACTTTAATATCCAAATAATAAATATCTCTAGTGTCATATTGATCTTTAATATTATTTTGAATTGTACGAACAAATTATATCTGAAATAAATAAATGAAATATGTATAAAAGATTCTGTGATTAATTTTGAGATTATATTCTCTCAGCAAAAATGTGTTGCAAATATTAAGTATTACAATGATCTTCATTAATTAAATCTAAAATCAAAATTTTGTTAAAAACCAAATTTCAATTATTTGTAGAATTTCTGATAATTGGACTGATTGAACTTACTGTTAAATTGTTACTATACTATCAACATTTTGTTGAAATATTTTATCGTATTAAAAAAAAGTAAATTATGTTATTTTTTATGGTAAATTATTTATATTTCCATGGAATGGTAAACCAAAATAATTCCGCATCTTCCTGCATCTCGAGTGTACGTTAAATTTTGGACCGAGAGATTGAAAAAGAAAAAATATCGCAGCAGACACGAAAGATGCAGCTGAAAGGAACAGACCTTTAGTTTCCTTTGCATTAGCAATACAATTTCTCGCATAAGCCAGCTCTTCTCGTGCGCGCCAATTCGAAGCCGGTGCATAGAGCGCGACACCGTGCCGCGCACCGTGTGTCGCGTGTTGCCACATCACCACCAAATCAAACGAATCTTGCAGCGTGTTTTCGGTGTAGATCGCGCTCGCGCCGACCGATTGCTCCACACGGGGGTGTACGTGGAAAGCGTGTGATCTCCTGCTTTTCTGTCTTCATTACAGCCAACATGTCAACTTACTCCTGAGTCCGCCTCGTGACTTTCAACACGCCACGTATTTTCATCGAATCCAAGTGTAGACGCGCACACTTGTCTCGAGAGAGCGCACGTGCGAATCGTTAGAACGTAATCGCAAATCTTTTCGATTCACGGCGAGCATCATCCTGCGACACCATGAGCGCGCCGCAGGCACCAGCGAAATTGAGAAATGGAGTGGTGAAGCAGGTGAGGACCCGCCGCGCGAACGCCGGCCGATCTCGTGATCGATTACAGCGTATTTACGCACGCCTCATTACCGATTCCAACGGACTCGCGTTATATACATCATGTCGATGTTGATTTCTTGCCTGCTCGCCCAGCTGGCAACAAGCGGACTATAGAACATATGGTCACATTCTGCAGTATCATCACTGTAACGGCCTTTTATGCGTTTTAAAGGCGTTTTACTAGATATATGTGATATAAATAAGAATTTTAACAATTTTATTCCACTTGCTTGTTTCTCCTTTTTCTTTATTTTCGGTTGAGCAAGAGTTTTGTAAGAGTTTACAGCAATTTGGAAAAGTTCTATGAAAAATATTAATAATTGCGTAATAAATATTTCAATTGCATAATAAATGCTGGATATTGTTCAAATAGATTTTAAATAGATTTTAAATAAGTTTTCTTATGATACAAAACTTTAATTGCGAAGGTGACGTCTGGAGACACTGTTGTTATTCGTGGACAGCCCATGGGAGGACCTCCACCCGAAGTGACTATTACTCTATGCAACATTACTGCTCCAAAATTAGAACGCTGGAAAGGAAATGATAGGTATATATAATTATATTTAGATTCACAATAAAATATAGTAACGTTCAATGTTAATGTTATGAATTATAACATTTATTTACAAGTATTTTTATATATTTAAAATTTTTTTTTAATTTAAATAATTTTATAGAGACGGTAAGATGCTTAGTTGTGAAAATAATGAAACACTTTTTGCACCTATAGCATGGATGAGACCAAAGATGAACCATATGCTTGGGAAGCGAGGGAATTCTTACGCAGGAAGTTGATTGGTCAAGATGTCACATTTGCCACTGAGAAGTCGGTTAATACAGCCAGAACGTATGGAACTGTTTGGCTGGGAAAAGGTATTTGTCACTCGTGACAACTGCATATACTGGAAATTAAAAAAGAGTCGCACATCTAATCGTAATTATTATCTTGCAGATAGAAATGACGAGAACGTAATTGAAACTTTGGTGTCGGAGGGTTTGGTGAATGTCAAAAGGGACAATCGTAATCCTACAGCTGAGCAACAACGATTGATTGAGCTGGAAAATATTGCGAAAGCTGCGAAGAAGGGAAAGTGGGGTGACTCACCAACCTCGGAGCATATACGGGATATTAAATGGACCGTCGATGATCCTCGGAAATTGGTTGAGAAGTTCAGCAAGAAACCAATTAAAGCCGTAATCGAATTCGTCTTCGACGGCTCCACTGTGAGGGCTTTCCTCTTGCCCGACTTCTACAACATAACATTGATGATCTCAGGCGTTCGTTGTCCTGGCTGGCCCAACGGGCGCCGCGAGAATTCCGTCGGTGATCCTTATGCAGACGAAGCCAGATACTTTGTGGAATCGCGACTCTTGCACAGAGACGTTGAGATAGTGTTGGAATCGGTCAACAATAACAACTTCATTGGTAGTGTCATTCATCCAAAAGGTGAGTTTGTGCACTTCTGATAAACCTGACAATCGAATGTCGATATGTATTAAATCATGCATCGTGGATATTGGAAATTATTAAGGTCACATGGTACATATTTTGTGCAGGAAATATTGCTGAAATTTTGCTGAGCGAGGGTTTCGCAAAATGTCAAGATTGGTCAATCAGTAATAGCAGATCGGGCGCGGAAAAACTGTATCTCGCTGAGAAAGCGGCGAAGGAAGCGCGTTTGCGTCTGTGGAAAGACTACAAACCGTCCGGTCCGCAGATCGAATTCACCGGCACGGTCGTGGAAATTATTAACGCGGACGCGCTCATCATTCGCACGCAGAACGGCGAGAACAAAAAAGTATTTCTTAGTAGTATTCGACCGCCCACTCGTGAGAAGAAGAACATCGAGGACAGCAACAATACTGCTCGACCGAAGGATTTCAGACCTCTTTACGACATACCTTGGATGTTGGAAGCGCGAGAATTTTTGCGCGAGAAGTTCATCAGGAAAAACGTAAAAGTGGTGGTTGATTATACGCAACCGGCTAGGGACAACTTCCCGGAAAAGCTGTGTTGCACTGTAACGTGCGGCAAAACGTAAGTGAATTGATCTCCGCTAGAAGATTTGTTTCTTTATAATTTAGATGCAAGAATAAATTTTTTAATTTTACTTCTATATGCTAACAGGAATATCGCGGAGGCGTTGGTCGCTCGGGGTCTCGCGCGAGTGATCAAATACAGGCAGAACGACGATCAGCGTTCTTCTCACTACAATCTCCTGCAAGTCGCGGAGAGCAAAGCGGAAAAATCGCAGCACGGACTGCATGCGAAGAAAGACATTCCAGTTCACAGAATAGTGGATCTCTCGAACGATCCCTCTAAGGCGAAAGCGTTCCTGACATCGCTCAAACGAGCGCAGGGAATCAGAGGAGTCGTCGAATTCGTGACAAGTGGCTCACGTCTGAAGCTCTACCTTCCCAAGGAAGATTACGTTATCACGTTCGTATTGGCTGGAATACGAACCCCGCGCTGCCAGAGAACATTGCCCGGCGGCGGAGTGTTGAAAGCCGACGAATACGGTGAGAAAGCTCTAGCCTTCACCAAGGAGCATTGTTTCCAACGAGACGTGGAGATCAAGATCGAGAATACGGAAACGAAGTCGAGCGGTTTCATCGGCTGGTTAACAGTGAACGACGTCAACATGTCCGTCGCTCTGGTTGAGGAAGGTCTGGCTGAAGTCGTGAATTTCCCGGATTCCGGAGAACTCACGAGAACCCTCAAGGCTGCGGAAGAACGTGCGAGAGCGAAAAAACTTAATGTAAGCACGTGTTTGATTATAAAAAAAAAAACATCTGTATCTCGCTGTTTTTATCTCAACACATTGTGTGAATAATGCAGTTTATTAGAAATTGAAATTAGCTTGAGCTATAACTTTGCATTACAGGTTTGGAAGAATCGCGTGGAAGCGCCAGTGGAGAGCGACAAGATCGTTGACGAGAAGGAAGGACAGGAGCGCAAGATCGATTATCAGAAGGTCGTGATCTCCGAGGTCACCGACGATCTTCATTTCTACGCCCAATCTGTCGATCAGGGCACTATGCTGGAGAACATGCTTCTGCAACTGCGCCAGGAGCTGGTTGCGAATCCGCCACTTCCTGGCGCTTACAAGCCGACGAGGGGCGATTTAGCGGTTGCAAAATTCAGCGGCGATGATCAGTGGTATCGCGTGAAAACGGAGAAGGTCTCCGGGACCAACGTCAGCGTATTCTACATTGATTACGGCAACAGGGAGACGCTTAATGTCACGCGAGTCGCTGATTTACCGGCGCGTTTCGCGACTGACAAGCCGTACGCTCATGAGTACGCACTGGCATGCGTGACTCTTCCGAGTGACGTAAGCAAAATTCTTACACATTTATTTACTTTTAATGACAAATGGCTTGTTACTTACACGACGATATTTTTGCAGACTGATGACAAGAGAGCGGCGGTGGATGCTTTTAAGGAAGATGTGCTGGATAAAATCCTGCTGTTAAACGTCGAATACAAGTTGAGCAGTAACGTAATTGCCGTATCGTTGATGCACCCCACCTCAAACGAAGATATCGGAAAAGGACTTATCTCCGACGGTTTCCTGCACGTTCAGAAGCATCGAGATAGGAGACTCACTAAACTGGTTAGTCGATCTTATTTCCGCCGTGTCGCAACCTGTTGGCAAAAATTGATTGCTTACAAGCGTGCGTCTTTATTTGCAGATTGAGGAATATAAAAAAGCCGAGGAAGACGCGAAGCACAACCATCGTAATATCTGGATGTACGGAGACGTAAGGCCGGAAGACGATGACAAAGAATTTGGGTTGTAATTGATATAAGTGCTCAAATGCCGGGGATAAGTATTATCGATATGGGAATAAAAAGGACAGATCATGTTAAATAAAAAGCAAAAAGCCGCGTAATAAGTATGATACTATGTATGCTACATAGATAAAACTAAGAATATGATGAATATTGATACGGGAGTTACATGTCGCGTTAGTCGCATACAATGCAATGATATATTTCAGTATATATATATTATATATATATACATATGAAACAAAATGAATTGTACATAACGATTTTAATAATTTCAATGAACAAAGTGCATGTGCAAACAGTCTTCAAACAAGACTACGCGATCATTGGCATCATGTTCTCATCGATATGAACATTTGTTAATAACTTGATACCACAATATAAATTGTTTGAGGATCCAATATTCTCAATTCATATGAAATCTTCAATGTGCAATTCAACATGTTAAGTACGTTCAGTTATGTTAGATATGTTAATTAATTGCTTTTCCTACATATCTATGTGAATAGAAACAATAACAATCGTGTTTGCGTGCTACTTTTTCCAAGTTTTTATATACAAGGATGATCACGTGTAGCTAGAGCTGTAGAATTTATAATCGCAAATCTAATCCGGCACTGACGGTTAAACAGAATTACTTAGAGAAAGTTCATATCAACAGAATATCAGAATATTTTTAATTAAAGACATTGGCACAGAGTATCATCCAAGACACATTTTTCAACTTTTAAATGACATGTGTGTGTGTGCGCGCGCGCGAATTCAGCATAACAAATGAGGATATATTAATAATATAAAGAAAAAGATACTTTTACAATTAAGTATATCATCTTTCTTGTGACTCTTCTATCTTTTCTCTGAATGAATTTCACGTTATACATGTACGTTGTATGCATAAAGTTTGACATTAATGTACTTACAAAAAAATTATTAATGCAATTGTCCTACAGATCAGTCCTGCAAATTACAGTACAAGAATAAATATGAAGTTTAAATAAATATTCGAGATATTTACAATAAGAGCAAATATTATGTCTACTATATCTACTATGTGTTCAGTGAAGTAACTCACAATTTTTTTGCGGTATAAAGAATATATACATATATATATTTTATGTACGTAGAATATATATATATGTATATTTTATGCATTATATAGAATGAGTTAGCTTGTTTATTTTATTAGAACTACTGTGTTGTGTGTTATACCTTTAATTTACCACCTTGAACTATGCACGATGTAATTTTTTTAGGTTTTTTTTTTTGAATATTTTGTAATGGAACTTTGATCTGTGGTAATATGCTGACGTTATCATGATTCATCAACTTTATTTTGTAAATAAAATCCTATTGGATATTTGATACACTGTACACATTGTAGGATCAAAAAATAAAAAAAAAAACACTTGTTTGAATTACTTTTTAAGTATATTACAATTTTGAAGATCTACGAGATACAAAAATTTCCGTTGTATCTATACATTCAATTATCTACTTTACATTATGATGTTATATGCATAGTGATAATACTGTCTTATATTTCAAATACTTATCTTCTGCAATAAGAAAATATATTGAGTAATCATGCAGAGAGCATAACTATGTTGTAGAAATATACGAAGTGATCAAGATGTTTGAATAAATATGAGAGGAATGTTTTCCAATATCTCAAATGCAATATAATTACGCCATACCTTACATTATTGCTTGCGCAATAAAGATCTCAGAAATAAATGCACATTATTTATGAATTTTTATTTTAAATTGCGACGGTCCAGTTCCTTAAAGTTCAATATTTTGATGATACATGATATATAACAATGATAATTTCACATACTACAAATACTAACTTATATTATCGTTGCTGGATAATATCACGTGTTTAATTACAGTTCCGTCCCAAGAACATGAAAATAATCCATCTTTGTGCCAGGCGAGTCCTCGTACAAAATCGCTGTGGCTGCTATCCTCGAATATCGGCAGCATTTCTTTATAACTATCAAATACTTTCACAGATGTGTCATCAGAGCAACATGCTAATTCATCTTTCCTAGAAGATAAAAGAATGTCAAATTATCACAAATTCCATATCAATAAAAGTACTACATTTCTAATTCAACAAATATTTTCTATAGGCTGTTTTAGAGTTATGTGAATAGATTTCTAGTAAATTCTTACTTTTCTGGATCTGGATTGAATAATAATTTATGTATGCCCCTGTCACATTCAACTGACTCACATAGCACATCATCTGTTTGTCGGATATCGATTAATGTAATGCTGCCATCAGCTGCACCTACTGCTACAAGATGATCCGATATGCTGTTCCAAGCTACTGCTGTTAATTGGCAATCATCTTTTTTAAAAATGCCTGAGAAAAATATCAAAGAATATAATTTGAAGTAAGCATGAAGTAAATAAAAATACAATGAAATAAAATCTGGTGATATATACAATGTGCTGGTTTAGCTCGTCTAACATCCCAAAGTAGTGATTCGCCATCTAAAGAGGTGGATACAAATACAGAAGTAGACATAGCTTTTACATCTGTACTGGTGATAACATCTGTATGTGCAAAACTGTACGAATATGTTGCAATTAAATCCTCCACATCCCAGACTTTTAAACTGCAACAAATATGAGATTGACATTTTCCTTTTGCCCGACTTACGTGATATCATACTTTATAAATATCTTACCAACAATCCATTCCTCCCGTCACAATGTTCCTTTCATTGGAAAACTTGGATACCGTTAAGACACTATCGTCATGCTGGCAAGTGCGTTCAAGAGAATAAAACTGAGGTTTTTGATCTGATGCTTGAATTATTTCTAAGATCTCCACAATACCGCTATCCTCCACAACAACAAATTTGTTTTGTGTCAGATAAACAGCATTACAAACACCACTATCTGTCTGTTGTGTTATATCAGCTTTTTCTCTAGTAAAATCTAAGATATCATTATAGTGCCAAAGAGTACCTGTCCAATATATATCCACCATGTTAGTACCTCCAAGAAGAGCATTGTGTTCTGTAACAAAAATGGATACACACACGATTTAATAAACGAAAGAATCAATTATGATCTTTAAAAAGTATCGATATGAGATTTCTCAAACGAAAGAATCAATATCCAAGTAATGTAACACTTTACCGTTGTAAATTAAGAGAAATTGCAGATTCTTTTTAACGATAGATGGTCGATCTGTGACAGACATATTTCTAAAGGGTCCGTCGCTTGATACATTCCAATTTTCCATTGTGTTTTCCATATTAGTTCACAATATTATTGCTTTGAAATCACAAGAATTTTAAAAACAGAGCTTAATTTTGTAATTCTTAGTAATTCAATTACTATTAGCAATTTTCTACTTTCTGTTTCTTAATATTATAAGTACTTCTTTCATACATTATTTTTTATTTATTACTTTTCATCAAATATTCTACAAAAAAGTTTGGTTAAGCACGTCGTTCAAGATTTACCCGCTACTAGCTGTGGAATAAGTTCAATGGGCGGATTCAGAAGAACCGATGATCAAAGCAGAATAACGTGATTGGTGTACTTGACTAAAATATTTAACGAATCAGATTTAACTATCGCTTTCATTCGCTTTCATGTAATATTCAATTGTTGTTAACAGCTATTTTCACGTCTCCATATGATACAGAGATATACTCGCACTTTAAAGAAAAGAGAAAAAATAAAAATTAAGTGCAAAAAGTGCAACCGAAAGAAACGGTCCTATGATTCGTTATTTTCGAATCGAGTAACATGAAAACAAATCATTATTCTTTCAATTACAAGAGACTGTGAACAATGAATAAAAACAAATGCAGAAAGTGCAGCTGCAAACAGACGGTCCGCATTACCGACCGCGGCGTGACGTAACGCGGCCTCTGCACCTCGGATAATATCCGTCGTGACGCATGCGTATTGCGTGCGAGCCGCGAATCAGAATCAGTCCAACGGAATCTTCAGAAAAGATACGGCACGACACGATACGACGTACACGGCCGACGTAGCCGAACGGGGAATCGCGACGAGCAAAGCAACCGAACGACTTGTCAATACGCGGAGCCCAACGCACCGATCACCGTTGGGCGCTTCAGCAGACGGCGGCGGAGGAGGAGGTGCAAGGACACCAACAACGCCGTGACTCGTCCGTCGAGAAGTCCGTCTTGGTCTGCCAGTCAGGATGTCGAAGCCCGAGCAGGTTTTAATTATCGAGCCGCAGAGCGAGCTACGATTCAGGGGTACGCTAACAAAAACGAACAGTCATCCTTTGTCGTGTCTTATTTTTTTTTCTTTGTACCTTTTTTTTTATTTCTATTAAGTGATCATCATCATCGCGAGCCGAACGAGCGCTCCGTGCGTATGCCGCCCGTGGTGCGAGGTATCCGCACATTCGTGTTGGCGAGGTGCTTGCTTGCACACGGAGCTCATCGCGCGCTGCGTCGTTAAGATGACGTAAGGTCGAGTCGTCTTCGCCCGCGCGGCCGCGCGTCCGTTGGCTCGCTCATTGTCTTCGGCATGGCGCAAATACGGAGCGTACAGCCGTGCTCGTCCGTGTGTCGTGCCGCGCGATTGAGAGCCCCCATCCTCGTCCGCGGTGTTTCTCGACGAGCATGCAATGTCGCTTACTCATACCTAACCCTATCTGTCCATCTGTACGTCAATTCGCTGTCAAAGTCGCACGAGAGAGCGCGACTTTGCGCCGCTCTCTCGTTTGTCGTGTTCTCGCGCTGCCGAAGCCGTTGTTTTCGCGAAATTCTATCAAGATTTTCTTGCTTTGTTAAGCGAAATAAGTAGATAAATAATAATCAGATAAGCCGACAGTGGCTCTCGCGCCCTCTGATGGTTTCCAGTTTGCCGAGGTTTTTTTTCCACGAGGAGAAAAAAAATGCAAGACATCGAAAAGTCTGTCGTTCGGCAAACGATCGTTTCGAAAACGTAGAAACACGCAGGTGCCATCGATCGATGCGACGGTCTACAATCTCCCAATGCCTTCCTCCGACGATTACTAATCGTCGATACGAGGAAAACCTATTTATTGAATTTATACCACTGCTCCACTTAGCCCGGCTATACGCGGCGGCAATCCATAAGAGCCTCACTTATTTACGCTTCGTAACGGCCAGCCGGTAAATGCATCGTGACCCTCACAATGTAATAATATCACCATTTTTCACTGGATTTTCCATTCATGTATTTCTGCTCTCTCACTTGGAATCGTGGATGATTTATTGCGAAATTTGGAGAACGTTGCTCTGCTCGTTCTTTCCGCCTACGCATATATATTTATTCGGATCACATGTTTCTTTCAGAAATAAATCTATGTAAAATAGACGTTTGCATGTGCAAATATTTCGGCTAATACCATGCGTACATAATTACACGTACATAACGAATTTCGTTTAAGACCTCGTTTAAGATGGCTATGGCCATCTGTTTACGCGTTCGTTTCGTGCTCTCACCTACGGAAATAAAATTTTTGCAGAATTATAGAATCATTATTATGCTGAAATCATAAAGTGCTTCAGCGTCCTTCGACTATGACTGGTCACGCACGTGCTTTTGCAAAGTTAAAAGGCAAACATTTAGCTGTCAATTACACACGACATCGCCGTTTCGCAGAACGGTCGATCTGCTAGAGACATTTGCGTTATTAAAATCAGGATTAAAAAGATTGGAAATGAAAATAATTTGTAGTCACGCGTGAATCCGATTAACATACTTGAATATTCTTAATTTTTCTGCTTATTGTATATAAATTTTTTTTATGCATATTTTAATGTATTATTTTTTACACATCAAGTTTGTATGTGCTATGTATCCTTTTTATCCAATTCGATAAAAATCTAATCTTACATTCTTAACAAAAAATCAGTGAATGACTTTTTTATGAATCAGCTCTTATATAATAATTTATAATTAATCTTTTTGTTTTAACGATTATTGACTACAGTCTTCATCTTCATTTCACTTCTTAATTAATGCTTCTTGAAAGAAGTTATTTAACTTGCAGATATAACTCGAGTTGTCTTTATATGACTAGTAATAGAATGACGAATGTCACGAACTGTTCTGTTATCAGCAAAGCCCAGGAAAAGATGTTTATTTCATCAAACTATTAATATTCATTTTCTTTTTGCATTTTTTATATCTGTGCACACAACTTTTATATTTTTAGTATGATCTCTTTTTTATGTCATTGACATTTATAATTTATTATTTATTAATAAATATAAAAAGATTAAATATATTTATCTATCTTTGAATCTTTTAAACAAATATTTATTTTAATTAACAAATTATTTTATCATTTTGTTACAGGCCCTTTTTCCGGCGGTCCAGTCACATCGTATATAAAATTAATTAATCCAACGAATAAAAAAGTATATTTTAAGATAAAGACTACTGCCCCAAAGAGATATTGTGTACGTCCAAACTCTGGAGCCCTCAAACCACAAGATGTCACTGAAATAGCAGGTTAGTCTGTGTCATAAAATATATAAATTTTATTTTCATATTGATTAAATTTCTTCTAACTTTAAATATAATATTTACATATAAATTGTTTAGAGAAAGAGAAATTCTAGTCTTTATATCTGTACAACTCAGAAGATCTATTTCTTTAGTCGAATAATATAAACTGTTTTATTATAGTTAATTAATTTTACATATCATTACAGTATGCTTACAACCGTATGATTTTGATCCGTCGGAGAAAAACAAACACAAATTTATGGTGCAAACTGTGGTAGCACCAGACGACAATGATGATGAATATCCAGTCGATGTGGTAAGTGAATATTGAGATATTCATTAATATGCATCATTAGTAAACAAAGTACTTCTGTAGCTGCTTTTGCCATTCTTCAAACTATATTTACTCTTCATGATTAATGAAAGTCGCATATGTATCTTTTTTTTTAAGTGGAAGGACATAAATCCAGATCAATTAATGGATTCTAAATTGAAATGCGTCTTTGAGAATCCTGTGACAAGCACCACTACTACAGCTAAAACGACTTCGACTTCCACAACAGCTAAGACAGATTCTAATACGACTAATGGAAAGAACAAAGCAGTTGGCGATTCCGTCAAATCGTCACCTAAAGTAAGTTATGAGAAAGAGAGTGAGTATCGAGAAATACTTTATTTTTCATGGATTGCCATGTTTCAAAACAACGTGGTTTTATTTAGGTACTTGGCGAAACAGAAGAAAAACTATTAAAAGCTGCACAAGAGGTTAATCAGCTTAGGGTAGAAGAAAGCACGCTTAGGCAGGAAAATCTTCAACTTAGGGTAAATATTAATGACGTTAAATCAATCGTGATGTTATTTGCATATTTGGAGTATAAAAAATTAATTATTTAATTTTATTTCAATTGATTTTTATTAATTAAACTTTTTGATCATTTATTACTTGTAAATATTATTCAGTACATATTGATATATTTATTTATATATAAACTTTGGACAAAACAGTTTTGTTGATTTATACAAAATCCATTGCATTTTTTAAATCTGTACTAGCTAAATTCACCAAATATCTAAATTTTACCAATTGTCTAAATTACACTAATTGTTTAAATTTTAACCAAGCAATGTTAAATTTGCGAACTCTTAATTTTCTCGAAAATAGTACAAATTTATTGGGCATTACCTGGTTAAACAAGTTCGATGAAATCGATTATAAATTTTTACTTGATTAAATCAGAGATTTTAGTCAGGAATCTGCTAACAACGTAGTTCTATGTGTTTGTCTGCAGGAAGATTTAATGAAGTGGCGAAACGCAGCACTGGGCAATGATGGTAACCTTGCAGCAGCTAGAGGACTAACCTCGCAGAGCAATAACCAGTTATCTCCGACATCAACTAGTGTCCTCATTGCCATTGCTATGGTTATAGTCGGCTACTTGCTGGGAAAACTAATCTGAACAGCCTTTATCTTATTATATACCTCAGTGTATCCCCACCGCCCCCATGTTTTTTTAGCCTGTCCTCTGCCGTCACATGTCATCGTTCGATCGCAGATACAGACTCCAAACGTTGCATTATTCGAATGTTCATAATAAATGCTATAAACACGAACGGTAGTGGTCTACATTAATAGAAGCTGCTCGTTACGGATGTGTATTTCATTTGGCAAAATATTTGATTTTAAATTTATTTATTTATTTATTCTTTTAAGAAATTGATTTGATTTGAGAAAACAAGCAATGCTCGGTTATTAAGTTTTGTATTTGCATTTGTTATAGTTGCGTTTTTTTTTTGCTTTTTATAAAGGGGGTTTTTTTACGATTTATAGCTCGCGTCTGCTTTAAAATAGTGTTGGACAAAAGTGTATTTGTGATTTCGTGTTTACAAATACAATTTCGATATCGTTATTCGCGTTGCCCGACATTGCCTTGAAACTGTGTCATTATTGGAAATGTAAGTTACTAATTACTGATTGTATTTCATTCTTTCTCAAACTTGTATACCACCCATTCGGGATAAAAAACGTGTTGTACCGATGGGAAAGATCACACACGAACGAGTGAGGGTGCTATTACTGTCACATCGGATAACATCTTTCTCTACGTATTATAATTCTTACATCGTATAAATAACATTGTACAATCGGAAGCGGAAATAGCGTCCACAGTGCGGGTGCATCGTACTCGGAGCCTATGCTGTTGCCTATGCTCGCTCGATTCGCGCTTCTTCGATGCGTCCACCCTCAGGACACTGTTCTCGTACCGTTGTATATACTGTGTCCATTTGAAAACATGTAACATACATAGTCGGGGCCGGAGGGGAAAGAAGGGGTTAGAGGCGGGGCTGGCTGATGAAGAGTAGTGATTTATGATCCAACAATTGGTTGTGCTGGTTGTTGTATCCGCCAGCGTTGGTATATTAAATGAAAAAAAAAAAAAAAAAGAAGAAAAGGAAACGTTAATGCATTGAATTTACTTGATGCTTCAGTGTACTTTTTATTTCTTTATGTTTGTCTTATAAAAATAACGAATAAAGATATGTCTCGGATATCACAAATAGCGAAGGGTTTTGAATTTTGCACCTCTCTGCCGAATCATCGGTCCAAGTTGAGTCGCTGATAATCTTACATGGACATGGTATATTGTCGGGGCGCCCGAGAAATTGATCTGTCGAGTTTCAGAGTTCGCGAGTGACGAGCTGATCGCCGGTTGTCACTATTTAAGTACTATTGTTGAGCACGTAATATTTATCACTTACAGGTATAGAGATATTTATATAACTGTGCCTTAGGACTAGAGGCAATATAGCGTAACACGATTTTCAACCTTACTGGCTTCCACCATCGCTCCGAGAGTTTTTTTTTTTACACCTCCCACTTTTTGTCCTGGGTGATCGTTTTAGCGAATTGCGAAAATTCCGTGTCTCCGCGCGGCTGTAATATACAAATATACAAGAGGAACCGTTCTACCGTTAAATCGCATAGATGCGTGCTGTAAACGCATTCGCCGCGCGCGACTTTTGTTAGTTGGGAGCGCGCGGAATAGCCGAAGCGTTTCAATCGACGTGTGTACTTTATATCGGTGTGAACTTCTGTCGCTGTACGAGTTTCTGACTCGGAGACGATTATTCGGATTGCTCTCGCTAGCGTCATTTTTACAATTCTGACATTCCTTGTTACAGTTTGGGTTCGGCACGTAGAAGTGACTCGGCGACTCCTACAGCGAGAGAAAAGATCTTAGATCTTGAATCGTGTAAACTCGAGCTCTGTCTCTCCTTGCATATATATTTTACGTGTATATCCCGTATATTAATTATGAAGTTTATTAACTCGAACCCTGATCTATGTCGCATCTTTGTAAAGCAAAACATTGTAACATGGATTTGAAATATATATGTATATATATATATATATATATATATATATGTGCGTGTGAATATATATATGTATATTCACACGCCTAAAAGAGGCAAGTGCACGTTTCTCATCTCGTGCGTTTTAACTGCATCAGAAATAGTCTCCATATATTCCATTATTAAAAAAAGACAGAAGGAAAAAAACAAAAGAATGCAATTAGTATGCAATGCATAAACATTTCTCGGATGCTACGCTAGAGAGATTTTGTTACAGATACCAAGAATTTGTTGAATATGATCTATATACGATTGTTATGATTATATATGATTATCGAGTTTTGTGGTTTCGCTTCATGCGTGACTACGTCGTCACGTGCGATTAATCTATTTATTAACAGTGATTTCGTTAACACTCGTGTTTGAATAAAAGTATTCTATTAAAGAGTATATTGTATAGACCACTTGATGTTTCGATACCAGGGATTATTATGTAATTACTCCTTCAATTATATTAACGGGCAATTATATGCTGGAATTGTTAACCCGAGGCCCAATCTGAAACTCGAATTTAACGTTATCTATCATTTAGGAATGTTTATCTAACACTTTATTCAGTAAAGATTTAAGCGTAAATGATTGCACAATTGTCGTGAATAGAAAAGAGAAAAACGTTCGTATGAGAAATTCTTTTAAAGAACAAAAGCGCATATGTAAATAATTGGCGCAAAATTATAGAAACACTCTCTTTTTCGATGAATTTTAGCAACGCGATAATACGTATACACGTACCAAGTTGTTTCTATATTATATATATTTATGTACTTTTTGGCTCATCGACTATGTAGTAGTTTAAACTTTAAGTATTAGATTAATAGATTCAATAAAAAACTAAACAATATTAATCTAAACTGTGATCTAAAATTAAACATTAGATTGGATATTGATTATTAATATTAGAAAAATTTCTTCTACGCATAGTTTTTTTGAATAGTGATATAAATCAAATTAAACGAAAAATTAACGGAAAGAAAAAGATGCTTTCGTAATAAGATAAAATATCGAGAAATAATGACGGGAGCACCCGAGCGAGCATTCTCATGACGCGAGACAGTTTCCGAAAGGGGTTGCATCCTTGGAAAGGGAGCGCGTAGGTAGATCCAAAGTAGAGTAGGTCAACTCATAACCAGACCACAATCTACGTACGTCTCCCTACGCGTCTGTATTTTCGGTCACGTCGGAGGATCGCGTATCCACCCGTTGCGGTAAGAACTTCAAAATATATAAAGCTCGCTTCCGCTAAATGTAGGGCACGATCGCAATGATCCTTATTAGGTCAGCGGGGGTGAATTCGACTTTTTCATATGTGTTTTATGACGCTTACATCATCGCTTTAAAAAGACGCTTAACTCCTGCATTAAAAGTTTTGTCCGCTATTCTTGCAATTGTGTTTTTTTTTATGGTTCGTTCAAAATTTTTATGCAATAGCGTGTTTCGGGAAACGCGGCTAAATATGCCAATAGTGAAAACAATAATATAAGTTTCGGTAAAAATTGCCTTGACAACGGCGATTTAACATCGAACGTGAAACTTAAGCGTTTGCTATATTCAAAATAGGGAAAGATTTTGCGACAGCGTTTCTCGGATATGCTATAATTTATATTCGCGTCAGATATTAATATACATCAAGCGACAACATAAGCGTCCGGATAAAAATTCGCGCGAGGAACCACTTTAGCTTTCTACGTGCTAAATTTAGCGTTATGATAATTAAGCTACGGCGTCGTGAAAATTATATAAACTTATTACAGATCTTTGTGATATATATTATATATATATATATATATATATATATAGCGTCAAGAAATTCTATGTACAAAATTTCATGGCCACTCATAGTCGCGTTCAATGCCGAACGCTGTGCTCGAGCGTTCACCGGATGTACGATTTCAAGTACAGTGTCGCGAGGACTTGCTGCTATATCAAACCGGGTGGCAGGAAATCGGCAGAGCGGCGGTTGCCGATTTCCATGCAATACGCGTCCGCGACGCGCTCCCACGACACATGGTCCCTCCGGATTTTCAGAGGCTCGATGATCGATGACGCTCGGCACCGAGAGACGTTCGGTTGCGAACTAAAGCCGTGCACGACACGACTTCCTCGGCCACGCCGTGCGGATAAATCGGGATACGGGAAGAGGGAGGCGGCGGCGGCGGCGGCGGCGGCGGCGGTGGTGACGGCGGAGCGACGGATGCAGCGCAGAGCAGCCTGATCAGGGTGGCGGCGGCAGTAGCGGCTGGCTATTGATTTCAAGGACTTCCTTAGCCCCCCGCCTTGCCGCTGAGTGCCCGACGGCTCCAGGTCGCCCCGAAAGGTTCGCGGCGCCCGCGACTAAAGCTATTCCCTCCATTTCGTCGCGTGAAACGGTTTATAATAAATCAGAGGAGCGTGGAAAAAGTTACGCTCGCGCCACGGCGAGCGCGGAAAGAATTGAGAGCATGTTTCGACGGTGCGCGACTCGCGAGAACGCTTTAATTCAGCTCGAGCGTGAAATCGAGTTTGTCGCAAAATCATTATTCGTAAGTCAGTTTTGATGCGGTCGTGATAAGAAGAGGAAGACTCGATTGTAAAATAAAAATACAGCACGAATTTACAGAATGACATTGGAGAAATCTACTCTTTCGGAGTTGTCGGATATGAATGGACATATTGCGCGGGTGCGGCACGCTTGGGGAAGGGCTGAGGTAAGGTCGCGCGAGAGGGGGTGCACCCGTCCACCCCCGACGGCAACCCCCGTTCGCGTTACGGTACTGCGCGAGTCGGGCCGAGCACAGACGCGGATCGCGGGGTGAGCCGTCGCTCGCCATACGTCGAACTAGGTGCCCCGCGTTGGGGCGTCTCCTGGCATCAGCGGGCATCGGTGTCGTGCAGTCGATCGGGGGACGAGCACCGTCTTCTGCGAGTCCCCGTGCGAGTAATCGCCGCGAGACAGAGGAGGAAAGAGATAGGGAGAGAGAGAGAGAGAAAGAGAGAGAGAGAGAGAGAAAGGGAACAAGAAGAGAGAGAGAGAGAGAGAAGGGAACAAAAGAAGAGAGAGAGAGAGCAAGAGGGTGAGAGGGTGAGAGCGACGAGGAAGAGAGTGCGTGCGTCCTGTGCGTTCGTTCGTTCATCTTTTTTTCCCTTTTTTTTCCCTTCGCGCCCCTTGACCGGGCGCCAGCAGCAGCAGCAGTAGCAGCAGACGAAAAACGGGGCGCACGCCGAAGGGCGCGACGACGATGACACTGCGACGATGTCACTCGGTGTGGTAGCGCGACCACGGTGGTGCCATAGCGTGGTCGTCGTTGCGCGGGCCAGCAGTAGCAGAAGCAAAAGCAGAAGCAGAAGCAGAAGCAGCAGCAGCAGCAGCAGCAGCAGCAGTGCGGGCGTCGACGTCGTCGTCGTCGGGTGTGCACGTGATCGCACGAGCTTAGAGGAGATGGTGCCCTCCCCGGATCGCACGGAGGTGGGAAGTGACTACTCGTCGCCGTCGTCATCGGTTCGCGCTAACGTTGTCGTTGTTCGTCGCGGCGCCGTCGCTGCCGCCGTCACCGCCGTCGTCGCGTCGTCCACCGCGTACAACAGCGTCGTCGACGTCGTCGTAACTGCCACCGTAGCCGCCACCGTCGCTGCCGCCGTTGCCGCCGTTGCCACCGTCGCCGCCGCCGCCACCACCGCCGTCGTGGGTGCCGCCGCCAGTTCCGCCACTGCCACTACTGCCGTTCCTGACGCGAGTACGAACGTCGTCCGCGCTGCCAACGAGGCTTCCATCGCGACGGTCTAACCCGTTTGGGGTGAGTGTGACACCGACCCCCGATACCCGTTTCTCTTGTGTTTCCCTCGCCCCTCGCGCGATACTAATCGTCCCTGCCGCGGATCTATATCGGAGAACGCGTTCACGCCTCGCTCTCGGCGACGATCGAGAATGGAGCGTGACGTAGGTGCAAAGAATCGGTAGGCAAACGTCAAGCAGCATGGAGAATAGTGTGTGGAGCGAAGACGGAGGAAGAGAGGGCAGGGAGAGGGGAGGAGGAGGAAGGGTCGCGCGAGGGTGGAATTTCTTCGTTCGCCTCTCCTAATCTTTATTCTTTTTCTTCCTCCCTTCTTTTTTTTTTCGCATCTCGTCCCAGGCTCGCGCGCTCGCCCGCTCGCTCGCTCGCGTCACGATCGCCGTGCCCCGGTGGCGAGTCGCCTCCACATAACTTTCGTCAATCGATAATACAAGACGTCCGCAACGTCGTGCGGCGCTCGCAGGATCGGCCTAGGGTACGAGATTAGACCTCGTGCTCCCGTGCGATTAAGGAGAACGGTGCCAGTCGTCGAAGGGAAATGCGCGAGAGTTTGCTCCGGCTCTACCCTCGTTCGAGCGCGTTCGAGTCGAGCGAGCGAGCCATCGAGGGCTGCGTTCGACTCGCGGACGGACGGACGGATGGACGGCGAGCACGAACGCACCTTCGCTATCCCTCCCGCACACGACAGCGCGTCTTGCACTTTCCTCTCCCACGTTCGTTCTTTTCTGAATTTCATAGAAATATCCGTTTGTTTCAGTCTCAAAGAATAAGCGCTATTTCAATTTGTATAATTAAAATTTTTCCATTTTTAGAACAATTGATAAGAGTTTCTGTAAAAGTGGAAATAGACTAATGTTTATTATAAAATCATGCGCAGTCTGTTATTTGCTCACTGTTCCAGAATTCTTCTTAATGAAAATGATAGTGCTTGAATTATACATCCTTTCAAAATGAAGAACATTTTGGCGAAGGAGCAAACAGATAAATCTCCTGCGATATTCGATTCGAAGCGAATTTTATTTTCAGACTCAATTACGAAAGTATTTTTGTTACAAAAAAGTCTCCGAATTTGTCGAAAAAATTTTCATTTGAAATTTGACGAGTTCAAAATACATACACATACCATACGAGAAAAAGACTGAAAGCTTCCTCGTGTGTGGGGGGAATGAATGTTGGCGATCGTGTTACCCGGATACGATGCGTTCCAATAAAACGGTGCAGCGTCGAGAGAGGAGAAACTCCACCCGGCGCGGCGCGACGTTGATGCTCTACCGCGTTCGAATTCGCGTTCGAAGCCTCGAATCACGTTCTCGTGGCTCGCGTGACTTCCTTCGATGTTGCTTAATGAGATTCGGGATACGAAGAAATCTGGGAATTTCGCGGTGCTCGCGAACGCCGTTAGTTTCCTAAGTGCGAGGATCCATTTTTAACCCGCAGCTTGGACTCGATAACCCATTAGCCCCAGGCTAATGGTCGTATCATAACGTTCTTATTTCACGATGGATCTATAGAATGTTCTAGAATTGGCAGATAATCGATATAGCATCGTGAAATTTTGAGTCAATATTTTCTTAATGAAAACGATGAGAAAGGTCATAAATTTTCGAGATCTTTCACATTTTAGCCGTTTGATATCGCAAAGCTCTCAAATCAGAACTTTATAATATAGCGACAAATTTTAAATTAAATAATGAATAAATAAATTTCAGAAAAAATATAATGTATCTTGCATATAATGCTTGCATATAATACATTTACACATATTTGCATTCTACTAATTCTGAAAAACCCAACGCGTAGAAATTAATACTTAAATATTCATACTTGAGCGTCACGTCGCCAACTGCCAGGAAACCATGTAAAATAATTTATTTACGAAACCATTCGTCAATTTTTAAAAATATTCACAAAAATATTCATTTCGTAAATATTTCCGAAAACATATATTCACTCGTGCGAGTTAAAAAATGCATAGCAGCTCCTTGCTCGGTTATCCCTTCAGAGAAGGTCCCTAAAACATTATTAACTTAGGATCCCAAAGAGTCGCCATTCACGTTTATTTTATCTGCAATACGTGTCGTGTCGTTTTATTGCTTCGAAAAATGCTTCGACTGGTGTAAAATAATGTGTGCGTTCTTTAAGCATCAGCGATGCGTTGCTTTTTCCGCGTATATTTTCGCAACGGCGGGACGAAATAATAATATCCGAGAGGCGTGTTGAATAAACTAATGACGCGTCAACGTTAATTTCGTTAGTCATGTCGGTGGCTTGCTCTCGCGACTTGAGATGGGTCACTAAAATACCATTGCACTCGAGCTTTCGTTCATCAATACGGAATTATATGGCGCACGTATACGCTGTACAGATGCCTTTATCACTACATATAACGTACGTAATGAATGTGTACGAGGCATATGCGTATGTACGACTAAGCATACGATCTAAATTCCAAATTTACGACCTCTAAAATTTTTCGAAACTAAATTATATATTTCACTGTATTCTGTGGATTGAGAGAGAAGTAAGATTATATAAAAGCTTAATTAAATTAAACCGAATTAATTAAATCAATTTATACTAAACGGTTAGTAAATTTTGTAGTACTTTTTTTTTTGCTCTTTCTTGCTTGTGCAAAAAACAAGCAAAAAATTGCAAAAAATCATGCAGAATGCGAATTTTGCATACAGAAAAACTTTACACAAGTATGTGCATCAGCATATGTAGCCCTTAATGTATTGAGCGCAGGGAGTAAAGTGGAGTGTAGAACATTCCGAATGCATCGAATAAAGTATCTTTTCTCTGATTAGGTGATCGGTAATGCATTGTCTCCTGAGAAACACGATATAATCCATAATGCGCCGCACTCTCTGTCTCCGGGCAAAATTATTGCCCGGCGCAGCAAGACTAATTAATAGTTATCGCGTAGCCCCGTTTCGCATGTAGTTTGTGCATTATGAAAGAGTCGCGGCAAGAACACTGAGAGCGGAAGAGCCATTTTGCAAAAATTGCCTCGTGGAACATAAAGGAAGATCTTCTGCTCAACTTTCTTAATTGAGAATTGCTCGCAGCGCTATATTCACATTTCACAATAAATTATATATTAAACAGGACCATCCGACAGGACGGAAATTGAGCAAAATTCACGTTAAAAAACAGACCATTTTTTCCTTTCGCGCAAAAAATGTTGCCTTTAATAGCGCAAAGCTCTAATATTCCGTAAATGTCACGATAATATTTTATTACTAATATCATGATTAAAAAGCAAGATGGTGATATTTTATTTCTATAGTTCGGCGTATCTCTTTCGTATGGGCAAGCGGACAAGGATGTTTATCGAGTTGATTAGAACCAGTAAAGTACACCATGTGATAAATTAGTGAAGTTGACGTTCTGCCCGCACAAAGTATCCCCGAGGCGAGATGTGCATTAAGAGCCCGAGTAGCGGAAAAAAGCACATAAATAGAACGAAGACACGGAATTTGCATCGGGTCGTGCATGCGCAAGTGTCGCGGGAATAAAAAGTTCGGTTTAGAAAATGTACGCGAATGATCGAGACAGTAAACAGAGCACCAAGTAGGTCGCGGGGCATACGTTCGTCAAAAGTAGGAGACATCTTCCGCGTCTCGGGCGGTGAACTTCGCGAATTCGCGGCTTAAACTTTTCGACCGATGTCACAGCCGAAGATGTATCGCGAAAATCTTCGCAACGGCCGCCCGGGCACCGATGTTTCGCAACAACGGCATTCTTCCCGTTGCGACATTCGCGGTCGCGTATAAATATTTCTGTGGCGTCTGTTACGGCATTGCCGAGACGACCGCAAGTATTTCTTGCCATCTTCATGGCCGATTATTAAACTTTGTCGAAGCTTCCGATTAAATGTACGACGGGAACGACGAAGGTGTGAGCAGGGTAATATTTTTTTAATGGAGCGTACTGTATTCAATGCGGATGAATTAACACTCGTGACATTTACGAGGCACGCTCGGAATGAGGCTCCTTAAGGTCATTACGTGTCGGTGTTGTACGCCCATTAATCGAAGCGCGAGCAAAGAATTTTATTTTAAAATGGGACAGAGCTGTTATTCTGTACAAAGCATCCAAAAATTAAAATGTGAATAATTAAGTCAAAATGGATTTCTGAACAAATAAGAATTATAGTTTATTGAAAACATAAAGTTTTTTTGCGAATTCAATTTCTGATGTTTAAATAAACTATAAAACTTTATTTTTTATTTATTTCAGATAAACTTTAAAATTTTAGACTTATTTCGTAAAATATTTTAAGTACATGTGACATTTAAGTAGTTGTGTTCAATATTGATCTTCGAAAAATTAATTTCACGCTCAGTATTTCTCTCTGCTGTTTGCATAGCAACTGATCATTTCCAGTGGCACAAAGGAATATCTTAATTGAATTTGTATGTTACATTTTATCTTTTCCGATAAAATTCTCTCCCCACATTTTGTTAGGATATTATCGTAACTACAAAAGCCAGTCAATACGTCTGGGTTTTTACGTGAGATTTTAATGGAAATACAAACTAATTTATGCAATAATACCATCTGTAGTGCTGATAGGCCACATGAAAAATCAACATTATGGTACGTAATGATGCACATTATACTACATGGTTGTTCATAAAATACGCGGCCAAATTCTCACAATGTGTTAGAGCAATCAAGAAGGTGAAAAAAATTCTTATCAATATATGTCAAACAATGCTGGAAACGAACACAACAGTAGCATTAAAAAATTTATACGCAGTTACTTGTAATATGTCAGAAATATTGAAAGAAGATTAATAATGATCGCTTTCCTAAATAGAAATATGCGTACAGAAAAGAAATTTGGAAAGCTAATTAAATAATAACTTTCTCTTAATATTCAATTAAATATTAGACAATTAAATATTAAATATACAGAGACATTCGAGAATTTACATTGTATATTCGGTTTTCTTAGGTTTGTTCGCGTCGCATGCTTCAACATGCTCCTACTCGCTCCAATACGCTCCAATCTATAGTATACGTAACGGAGCATATTGGAGCGAGAACAAAAAACAAATCTCTTGTTGCATTTATTCGGAAAATTTAATAAAAATTTCTGAAACGTTCATTTTACGATCGTCGACTGTAATCATTAATTACCCGAGTCGTTATGTCACAAGTTAAAACTACGAAGGCA